GTAGCTACTAAAGTTAAAAATCTTCATCCTCACCCTCTCGGGTCAACCCTCATGACACCAGGGCCATTACTGCCACACTCTGGGAGATTGCCACCCTTCATCACCAAGGACAGAGCGCCACAGGCTGGCAGCCCTTATTGAACTGCACTGCCAGTAGGATTGTCCAAGAACACCATTGTCCCTGATAGGGCTGGGCCTCTTGTTGAGTCATGGTGGACAAGGGCTCATGAGTCCAACGCCGAAGGGGCATTTCTGTAGATGGTCCTAAAACTTAAGAGTTCACCATCCTGCACTATAAATGTGACTTCTGAAGCAGTGCTCGCCCTGAAAAACTCACACACCTTACAAACATAGACAACAGAAAGCCAGACGAAATAAGCAAAAGATCAGGAATCCAAGAAGCTCAGATCTTGATCCCACCACCAGGTGGGCGTGATTTTCTTTGAGCTGGTGGTCAATTTGTGTTTAACCCTGGTTTCCTTGTTTAGGGAACAAAGATGGTGGTACCTCCTCCTTCTACCTTTCAAGACTGATAGGACATTCAGATTGTTTTTTAAATGGGTGTGAATGCTCTTCTATAAATCGTAAAGCTGTAATAGGCGGTTTAGATAGATGATACACAAGCAACCCCAACTCTTACACAGTTGTCATTGATATAACTGGAGGCTTATTTTTCCCGAGGTGAAAACAACTCATCAGAAACAGGTGAGGACGTGCATTGGAGAGCAGACTCCAGGTGTGGACCCTGTGGAACCTGCCTTTGCGCTCAGGTGCTGACTCTCCTTTGGAGGGTTTTGGTGGCTAATTTGTGGCCATCTGTAGGTCTCCACTGCCCCCTTGTGGCCGCCCTCGCCCACGGCTGCACTGACTTCGGAGCGTGCGTGACAAGGGCGGACGGAGGAAACCCCAGCCATACTTCCAACTCAGGATTTTCCAGGGCCAGCAGAGGACTTAAAACCCAGAATTAAAGCCAGATGCCAGACTCCACAGCCTCTTAACGGGAAGGAGACGGTCTTGCCTGGTTTTGCCCTAAGCAAGACAGGAATCCAGACCTCTGTCTGGGCTATATTTGCTAAAAATGGTCAGTTCCTAGCTTGTCCCATTTTTTTCTGGATATAACAGCCGCTATGAAGTGCCCTTCTTGGCCAGGAAAACCTCCAGTCGAAAGGGCTAAACTACAGCCTCCAACCTCCCACCCATTTAACTGGGTGCTTCTTTTATGAACTGATAGGGGCCGTGGTGGAAGGCTGGAGATACAAAAATAAATATGCCATTCCTGCCCTTGGGAACTCACAAAGCTTACATAACGGACATCAATAATCCAAACACACATGAAATTAACAGCTTTTGGGCCATTGAAGTAATGGCTATAATAGTACGCATAACATGCTGTGGGCCTGGTGGGCGGGGTTCGGGGCCCTTGGGGGGGGGGGCATCTGAGAGTAACAAGACCTACAGGCATACTAAGAACGACTTTTTAGGTGTGTGGCTAATGGTTTTACAGACACCTGTTTTGCAAAGTATTCTTTTCTCTATTTATTAGACAAGGGTTCAAGAGTGTGATGGAAAATTGTACCCAGAAAAGGCACAGGATGCTTTTGGGGCAAACAACATGGCTGTGGAGAGTATCAGGTACACGTGGTGCTAGTTAACGTGCGTCCACTTGGCTGAGCTGTGGTTCTCAGTGCTGACAGTTCCGTAATGATTTCATCACCCTCCTGACGGGATGTGCTCCAGGTGTGGCTTGCATCCAATTTAAACAAGGGGGCTTCAAAAGTTCATGGGTAAAAGGCCATTGTTTTTTCACTCCACTTTCCTCGTATAATGGGCATGATGGGGCAGTACACTTCCGGGGTCTGGATCCGGCACCCAGCTCAACATCTTACCTGTTCATTGGTCAGTTTCCATGGCCCAGGCACCAGCAGCCTGCCATGTAACTGACAACTCTGGTTGTCATTAAAAACAAAACAACTCGCTGCCATCCACTAGATACAGACTGATGGCCACCCTATCGCACAGGGTAGAACTGCCCCTGTGAGTTTCTGAGACTGTAACCCTTTATGGGAGTAGAAAGCCCCATCTTTCTCCCGGGGAGCAGCTGGTGGCTTTGAACGGCTGACCGCTCGAATTGCAGCCCAATGCACACTATAACCACTAAACCACCAGGCTTCCTTTTGGTTGTCATAGTGATTGAAAAGTACAGAAACCCTAGGATGAGGAATTTTAAACCTTCAAATGAATTTTAATCGCACCCTTTGGGTAATGGGGATGCTTTTGAGATTTCGGAGTAAGGTGCTCCGTTCAGGGGTGCTGAAATGAAGGGAGCTTGGGTTTGGGGCAGTGCAAAGGGATGAATCAGAAAACCTGTATAAGCAGAAATTGAATGGGGCTTGGGAGTACTGAAGACAGTCACCTTTGGTGGAAACAACCGCCCCTCACTTGCCGAGCTCTACAACCTGCTTCATCAGTGCCACGTCCTGTGGATGTGAGAACGATGTCTGTCTCATTCCCACCACGGGCTACGGCTAGATTATGGTGGTCCCAAACCTCTTCAAACCAAAACAGAGCCCACAGAAACGTCAAGGGCCCCATCAAATACTGATGCTCAGGAGCAGAGTGGCTGCATTGAGAAGAGACCAGTCTTGTTAGGGGCTGTGACCCATTTTCAAGGTCAAGACGCGTTTGATGTCATTTCCCAGCAGCTCAACATTTGGCGAAGCCAAATCCCAGATGGGAAGCCAGCCCTCCCTTGGGTTCCGATTCCTGCCTTTGATTGCCACCGGCCCGGCAGGCTTCCGTCCAGCTCCTGCTCTCAGGAAGTCAGCCACAGCTGCTGGCCACGTGTCACACCCCATCTGGGAGGTGGCCGCGTTTCAGTGGGAAAGTCACACATTTCCAGACTGTGGCTAACGGATTCAAAGATGGTTGGGAATTGTGTCATCTGTCCGTTGGGCCAAATTCATCCAGCTGCACTCCAGTAGCAGGGGGTAGAAGCGTGGCCTTCACAGACTTAAGCTGGGCTTCTCTTTGCTCTCGTGGGTTGGGACAAATCAAGGAACATTTATGGAATGGGCCAAGCACGGCGCAAACATGTTAAGAATGGTCTGTGTTCTCAAGTTCTGATTCTAGGCGAGGGAGACTCTATCTTGAAGTAGGAACTCTTTACTCTGATTTTTTTTTTTGGTAAGACTTGTCCACCAGGTCTTTGTTTGCTTTTAGGCACAGACCTTGGCATCAAACCACCCAAAGCAACTCAATCTGGTGAGTTCTGGGTCCAAGGGAACAAAATGAGATTTAGGGACCCTAAAATGATACACAAAATAGTGACCCATTTGGGGGAACTTGGATATGCCTCAAGAGTGTCATGTTAACAGTTCATGTCATCTTATCTCACTAAAAAGTTTGGAAGTATAGTCTAATCAGTCTAGGAAGAGACCTCTGGGATGCTTGCAGTACCTCTGACCCCACACCTGGAGGGGAGAGGCAAAAGGGGGTACTGGATAAATTATTTCAACCCCACAGAGCATAAACTAAAACAATTAAAATATAGAAGAGGGCTGCAAAGACTCATGGCAAAGTGGAATGAAAAGATAATGGAATTCATCCACTAACTTTTTGACCGCTATATATTTACATATGGCCTTCACAAACCAATGACAAAGTCTGAGCTTCCAAAAATAAGGTGACCAGATGTCCCGATTTTGGCGGGACAGTCCCAATTTTTGGCGTTTTTAAAAAGTCCCGATTTTTGGAAAGAATGCACAAGCTAGGGACCCGCCCTCCCCCGGTGGATGGTTTCCTGCTTTAAATCTGGTCACCTTATCCAAAAAGGAGATTCGTTTTCAGGGACTGTCTGTACCTCCGCACCTCAGGCCCAAGTTCCAACTGCAATAAACACAGCCCTAACAGTGGTTTCGTGATGCGAGATTTCATTTTCACCCTTGCTCTTCTCTTTTCGAAATATCTTTAATAATGAAAAGGCTAAAGTATAGTTTGTCAGATCTGTTTAATGATACAGAGATTTTTTTTTTTTTTTTTTAAAGAAGACAATAGGGTTTAGGAACTCGGACTCCGAATTTAGACGGCTTGGTTCCCACCTCAGTTTCACGGGCTACTATGTGACCCTGAGCACGTTTTAACCTCAAAAGCCCCAGGTTCCTTTCCCACACACCTGAACAAAATTATAGCACTTCCCTCATTGAAGTACTTTGAAGATTACATGGAAATCTATGCAGAGCACGTAATACAGTGCATGGCACACTGGAGCATGACATAACCTCAGCTACCGTTTTTTAAAACAAAAATAGTTAAAAAGAAAGTTTTGGCTCTATAAGTTTTTGTAAGTTTATATCCCTAGAAAAAGGACTGTGTTTCGGTGCTAAATCCATATTCCTGCCCTTTTTGCTCCAGAATGCTGCTCACTGGAGTGTGTATTGTGTGGCAGTTACGGTTGTGTCTGCTGTCTCAGTGGTTTGTGTAGTTAGGATGTAGTTTTCCCTCAGGGTGAGATCTAATATAATGTCATCACTTCCATGCTGAGCGCTGCTATGAGCAGCCAATCAATCCAACGGGATTTTCCTCAGGGGTGTGGTCTGCTCCCAATATATGTGGATCCTCTGGCAAAGTTTGCTTGCTTTTTACTGGGTCTGGATCCTGCAAGTGGCTTATCATCTGACCTCTGGCTCTTTGAACTTGAGCTAGAAGCCTGCCCATCACGGGAGTTAGCAGCACCCTGTCACCTCGTCTGCTGATCTTGGATTCATTTGCCTCTGCATCTAGGTGTGTAATATTTGAATTGCTGGACTTGGGTTCAAAGGGGCCCCTGCAGCTCTGAATCAGAAGGGCATCTGACCCTTAGAATTGGAACTTGACGCCTCTACAACAAAAGCCACTTCCTTGAACTCTGTCTATACGTGGGAGTAGACTGTGCACTGAGCTGTTAGCTGCAAGGTCAGTGGTTCAAACCTACCAGTTGCTCCACAAGAGACAAGACTACAGTGTCTGTTCCTGTAAGGAGATAGCACTTTATTCTTCTCCCCAGTGAATGAGTGCCCACAACCAGAATAATCATCTGTTCTGTCCCCAGGATTAAAGGCAGAAAGAACCCTCTGTCCAAGTCTAGGGCCGGTCTTCAAAATGCCTGTCCTTGGTCTTTCACTTGCCGGGTGGCACCCATCTTCCTTCTATTAATGAAGACAGCAACTGTTCCCCGGCCTCTCTTCTGAGACCCAGATTTATCTCGTCAGCTTCTTTCTTGACATCTTCGCATAGATGTCTCAGAGGCACATTGAGCTCAACTGAAATAACCCCTATTAGGAAAGCTTCATCCTCATGTCCGCTCTACTGGGGCCAAACCCCAAAACTTCCCAAGTTACTTCCACTCTGAAGAATACAAGGGGCCAGGAAGTAAGAGGCCAAGATACCTTGCAGAATTTCTTCATGTTTCCAGAGGGAAAGGAACTTCTATTTCCACTTCCAGAAAGGTGAGAAGCCCCATAGGAGGATGAGCTTATTTGCCCAGTATTGGAGGACGAGTATCTCCTATGACGGTCAAGTCCTGGACATGCAGATGTTCCTATCAGGAGCCTGGGGGCATGAAGTAATGCAAAGGGGGAGGAGCTCCTGTGGCTGACAGGTGGAGTCTGCTCTCCAACCTGGCAGAGGATCATAGTTGGATGGTTGGAGGGAGGAGGAAGCCCCAGTGTGTATCAATTTCCAGTCCCAAGCACGAGAGGGACACCCAGGGTAACACCCATGGCATGACTTCATATTTTAACACTTACTTGAGGAAGCAAATTCGGTGAATCCTAGAAATTAACTCCAGAAGTAGCCTACTCATGAGAATGTGTCTCTAAGATAAGATCAGCTGGGACTTTAAATCAACATTAGAGGCATCTTTGCCTTCTCGTTTAATAGGGTTACTTCTCTCATTTTACTTATTTGCAAAATATATGGTTCCTTTTTTATATACATACACAAACACATACAAACATAAATACCACATTCAGAAGAACAGGGGGGTGGATACATTAAGAAAGCCCCTGCAGAGAAGAAAAGGCAGTGAGCAGATCTGACAGGTGATCCCCGAGCTCCCGCTCCGGTTCCATCTTGCAGTACCCTCCCCCAGCCCCGCATCGCTAGGTCCACAGGCCTTCTCTGGGCTCTGGGGCATCAATAGCCATACTTGTCGTTCAGGTGCGTCCTGCCATCTCCACTTTGGCCTAGAGTAGGGTACATACGAAGAAATATGGTCACTATTCAAAGTCAGGGAGATAAAAATACTATGACATCAATGGGCCAAAATTTTACTTTTTATATACAAGTTTATTCCTACCCTTGCTGCACTTATTACACCAAGCACACCTAGAACTAAATTTTTATTAATCACCATATATACTTGTGTATAAGCCGAGGTTTTCGGCACATTTTTAATGTAGTTTTGTGGTAAAATTAGGGGCCTCAGCGGATATTCAGGTCGGCTTACACTCGAGTATATACAGTAATTACGAAGTCTATTACAAACTCATCAATCCATAGAGAAAGCAACCTATGATGACGACTTGGGCAGAAAAGCACCTCACACGTGGCCCAACACAAGGGCTTCAAGACAAGTCTCTATAACAGACAGTTTGATAACATCTTTAAAATGCTCAGTGTCTGATCCATCAAGTGAACTTTGATGGATCTTCTTCTACCGCTGCCCCTCTTGTAAAGCTGCATTAGAGCTTAGTTACTCCTGAGTCGGTTGAGCTGTCAAGAGCACACACACACACACACACACACACCAAGGGAGCTGTTGAAATAAGCGAAGGCACACCCTTACTGTGAAAAGAAAGCACAATCTCTATGCAGCTGTGGGAGGATCCCCAAGACACACACACCCGTGGCATACCCAACATTTAGATTCCTTTATAGGCATTTTATACATGTAAGATTTCTTAAGAAACTTGTTAGTATTTGGTTGTATTTAGAGAGAGAAAAAACTGTGAATAAGGTACAGACACAAACATATTTCATTTAACACAAAAAATAAAATTGAAAATGTATGCAAAGCAAAGAGACACATATACTGAATTCCCATGTAACACTCAACATGTGGCTGACTCTCCCCCTCGTCCCTCTTCCTCCACCACTGGATTATTTAAGGAAAATCCCAGCGGGCATTCTGTGTATGCATCCAGAAAGTAAGCACTTCCAAAAAGCCTTTACAAAAGCCAACATCATTATCACACTTTTAAAAAATCAGCAGTATTTTCTGAATACCATCAAATATCCCGTGTTCAAATTTCACCAACTGGCTCATGCTTTCTTTTGATGGAGAGGATGTGTATTTGAATAAGGGTCCAGTCAGAGCCCATGTCTGGTTGGTACATTTCTAGCCTGTGAATCTACCTGCCCCCCTACCCCCACCCCAGGAAGGAGGATTTACATGCCACACCCTTGTAACTTTACAAAACTGTGAACATTAAATAGATACACTGCTATTTAAAATCTAAATAACTAAAACTTAAAACCAACCCCCACTTTACCTTCAGGTGGGACCCAGACACAGTAGTCGGGGTCGTCTTCCGGGTACGTGGAGGAAAGGGTGGATGGGACCTGCAAAGAAAAGATGGTTGATTTGATTTAAAACCATTCAACTCTGAGCATCCTTATCCTTGCAGCTGCCAGTAAACAAACCAACAGAGAGTAGTTTCTCCTACAGGCCAGGGCTCTCTCGCTGTGGGAGCCTTCTTTCTGGGAAATGTCCATGAAGCTTCAGCAAGCGGTTTTCGGGGAGAGCGGTGTGAGGCCTTTAGAAAAGCTGCTGCTACACATGGCAACAAAGGGTGAATGGTGGAACCCCACCGGGCCCCTAGCACTCCGCTCCTGGGACTTTACTGTGTACCTACAAAACTGTGCCATCTCGGGGAGACTATTAACTAGAGCCTATCAGGAGAGAAGGAGCCCCTCGTGTCCTGATCCATTTCCAGATGGGGAACAGACAAGATGCCGAAGGGAGTACATTGCATTCTACCTTTTAAAGCATAATAAGAGGAAGAAAATAAATATAATTCAAATGCCCTTATGTGGGCAGGCTAGCATAGGAAGGCGGAGTCACAAACTAACAAGAGATAATTGTATGTGAGAAGTTATAGGGAGGAGGGTGGATGGGGCTAGAATGAGAATAAGAAAAAGAATTCAAAACACAAAAAGTCAGAAATAAAGAGAGTAGCTTTTAAGGTTGCTTCCATACAACCAAACACCTCAAGGGGTCTGGTTTCTTTGGCCGTTTGGGGTCATGGTTTCATGGGACACACAGCTGGCTGACCTAATCAGCCAGTGCCTCTCTTCTATGACCTCATTCCGTTTTTAAAAAGCCTGCAAGCAGCCATCTAAGGCAGGACAGTTAGTCTGTTCACCCGGAGCCATCAAGAGGGAGAAGAGGCAGCGAGGGACTGTGTGGCTACCTGCCTCCATCCACAAATGCGTCCTTTGCCATGAACACAGGATGGTGCCTCCCTAACTGAACGTTTTGATCAGAGCTTCCACAGAAGAATCCTGATCCAAAGGGAGGAAAATGTAGAACAAAACGGTTCTCGTGGACAAAAGGTTTTCTGTAGCTGTGACGGGTAGATGACTCACTAAAACTATTGCCCTGAATGAAGTAATTTTTAAACCTTAACAAAAAATATCCCAAGGTCCCCTTACAGGGTGGGCTGTGTGAGAAGCTTTTCTGTGCCAACATGGTGCTATAGGATCATGTGGGTGGAGTGCAGCCTGTCCCTCGGGTCACAGCTTGATCACAAGGTGACGGGGATAAGTGGCTCTCTGAGGCTGGCCTCTTTCTCTCTCCCTCTCCGCTTCTCCTTCCTGGTGACAAGCCACGCAGAGCCATGCTGACAGCCGAGCGAGCCCTGTGATGCACCCTCCGGCCTGTGGTCTTCCTGCACTCTGCACAGTTGCATGTGGCTGCATGCGCCTGCAGAGGGACTGATGGACTAGTATCGGACTGATGGAATGGATCTGGACGGGGCTGGGATGTCTTCTTGATCTCCAATTACTCCGAGATATAAAGCACTTTCTTACGCACATATATGAGTGTCACTGGATTTGTTTCTGTAGTCAGCCCAGTCTGCCACAGGCTGCTAACGGCCAGGTCAGCAGTTTGAAACCATCAGCCCCTCTGGGAGAGAATGACAAGACTGTCTGCTCCTGTAAAGAATTACAGCCTGGGAAACCCAAAGGACAGTTCTACCTTGTCCTGTAGGGTCACTATGAGATGGAACCAATTCAAGGGCAGAGTTTGGAGTTTTTTTGTCCATCTAATCAATTCTGACTCATAGAGATCCTATAAGATATAAGGGTATAAGAGCCTATGAGATACGAGGCCCCATAAGAGTACACTTGTCCCTTAAGAGTCTCCAAGACTATAAATCTTCATGGGATAAGACAGCAGCTGGTGCTAACTGACCTTGCGGTTAGAAGTCCATTATCTAGGCTACATTGCCACCAGGGTTTGGTTAACTAGTAAAACAAAAAGGTCTATGGTGCGCATTATGCTCTTTAAGGATTGTCTATGGTGGGCTCAAATTGCTAACAGCAACCCTGTAAAACAGGGTAGAACTGCGCTTGTGGTTTTCCGAGACAGTAACTCTTTATTGCGGTAGAAAGCCCTGTCTTTCTCTGGCAGAACAGCTAGTGGTTTTGAACTGCTGACCTTGCAGTTAGCAGCCCAATCCATAACCACTAGGACTCCTTACATAGAAACCTTAGGGGACAGTAACTTTATGCTACTAAAAATTGTCATAAATTGGACATTTGGAAAGTGTTGAGTTAGTGTGTGCCAACAACAGTAAAATAAGTAAAATTGAGAAAGAAAATACACAAACAAAAGAAAGCCCCTATTTCTAGGAGCGGACTCATGAGGTAGCCGAGACCTCTGCTGAACCCAATCCCCGAGACCCCTTCTTCGGAAGCGGCTCCCGGCAAAGGGCTTTGTCTCTGCTTACCTTACTGGGGCCGGCAGCTGCCGTTTGCTTCAGCTCACCTCTGCGTCTCTCACATGCACTCTTTGATACTGATTTTTAGGGGGGAAAAGAGGCAGTAGTTATTTTTAGAAAAAGGATTCTTCAAAAGAGCCAATTTAAGGACCCAGTTAAACACATCAGTGACCATGTGATCTCAACAATTCCTTCCAGCTCCCCACTGCAAGTGAGTCAATTCTGACTCTGAGGGATACTCTTGGGCTGGCCAGGCTTCACAAATGGAGGTAACCTCACCTTCTCCACCAAGCAGCAGGGGGGAGGGGCTGGGACTGCTCACCTGGCAGTTAGCAGCCCAACCTGTCACCCAGCAGCCTCCTCTCCTAAAAGGCCTGCGATGGCTACAGTCAGAGCTGTCAGGCGAGACTTAGCCTCCAACAGGGGCTGATTTTCAAATCGGGAGCCTACTCCATAAGCTGGCATAGCATCGCACCACCCCAGACGGGAAAGGAAACCCAGGCTGATGCTAGGATTCCGCTGGGCAGCCGTTGCCAGTAAATCCAGAACAAGAAGAATCTTACAAGACCAGAATTTATTTCACCACATTTCTTTGAATAGCATTGGAATCACTCCCATGGCAGGCACCTAATTTAATGCCGGAGGGCTTGGCACGGCCAGAGGGAAGGATATAACCATTAGGTGCTTTGTGCCCCGGGGAGAGAGAACCTTGAGGCAGAGGAGGAGGACCAAAGGCAAATGGGATGGCACCAACTGCCACTGTCTCACACATTCCATTTTCTCCTGAGCTTTGACAGCCGCATGGGCCAGTATCTCTGGGCTGTTCTCAGGGCAGCTGCCAATCTCCTCTCTAAACAGCCGTGGGGCTGCCGGAGTGCAGAGCAGCACTGGGCTCAGCTGCCCCACTTGCCTGAGGGCTCTTGGAGGGATGCGGCGGGATCGCAGGTCTCTGGCTCATCTCTAGTCTCTGCCACCCGGCCGAGCTGGGGCATGTTTTCTATAAACAGCAGTACCAGAAGCATATTGTCATTATCTAATACATGGTGGAAAGCCCAGAGAACAGAACAAACACTGCTAAGTATAGATGTCATCATCCAATGGTACAATCCTCCGCTCTACAACTTTAATTGGTTTTCCAGGCAACGTGCCTCCAGATGGCTAGCAGGGAACCACATTTTCCACTTGAAAAAAAGTGGCCAATGGTGACACACAATTTTTTGGTAAAACTCACAAAAAGCTTAACAATGTGAACACTGTTTGGCCTAGAAATCCTACTGCTAGGAGCTCATTCACAGAAGAGACTCAGCGATGAGCACCAAGACGGGCGACATGCACGTATGTTGACAAGAGCAAACAGCGAGGAAGTCGCCTGACAGGTCTCCCACGAGGGCCTGGGCCCCTCACTAAAAATCCCATCTTCAAAGAGTATTTTAAGACTTAGGAAAAACAGGTCAAAAGATAACACGCATCATGCAATCCCAATGTTAGAATAAATAGATAATACAGAAGAAGAAAAAACACACGCTAGGATCTCCCTCATTAGTTGCAGATTCATTATTTTCTTATAAATCAACATTTCAAATCTGTAATATTGTTGCATCTGCACGTTTACTTCAGTCTCTGCACAAAACACAGCAGTCACTGGTTCCCTTCCTGCCACCTGTCTGCATGCCACCCTCACGACGCCTGAATCTAAGCGGGGGCTCAGGGAAGAGAATACCCAGCACCTCGGTGGCATGTTTGAAAAGGCCGGGCATTGTGCCAGGCTCTGAGCAATAAACGAAGGCGACAACTCAGGAGGGTCTTCCTCTCAGAAACAGCAACTTCGCTGTTGCTCCAGCCGCTGGAAGTGAGCCCAGAGAAGGGCGGGCTGCCTGCAGGCCTGGTGTTCTCCCATGCACTAGCCTGGCTCGCGTTCAAAGCACACACTGCACACGCAGTTTAGAGAGAAAGAAGAAAGCACACCTGCGCCCCCTCCCCCCACTCCATGCCCATCTGTACTGTTGTTCCGCATGCTCCCTTTTTCCTGCGAGATCTTCATCTTGCTAAGCAGGTGGGCTACCCTTGATATTTCCCGGGAAAACAACCTGTTTTTCACAAGAAACAGGAAGATATTGGGAAAACCAACAATGATCTGTGGGGGTGGGGTTGAACATGTTTTTCTTCTTTGGGCTCTTAACGTGTGACCTAAAATTTCTAGAATGGACATAAATTCCTTTTATAATCAGAGAAAGATCATTTTTTAAAAATGAGTGCAGTTCCTCTGTTCACAGTGTTAATCACTTATTTGATGAGGCGGGTGGCATGCCAGGTTCTGTTAAGTACCAAAGGCCCCCCAAAGAAGGCATGATCCTTCTTGGGAAATTTAGTCCAATGGGTATTAGGGATGGGAAGTAACCTTAGCTGGGGGACATTAATCTTGACACTCCCTGATCACGCCTATCATCCACCCTACTGCACTGCCTCCCACTCAGACCGGGCAGACCCAGGCTTGTCCTGTGTTAGCTGGGCCTTGAAGGCCACAGTTTCACTTTTCTGTAGTACTGAAGCAGACTATAAGTACCGCTGACCTCTGAACAACACCAGCTTGAGCTGCACAGGCCCAAACAAATACATGGATTTTTTCCCCCCAATAAAAATATTGTACCCAGCTAGTGAAGGATTCCATGGGCAAAACGTTGAATGATGCAGGAGGCCTCAAAAGAAGGTGAAAGGAGTATACACAGTCACTATACCAAAGAGAATTCCGTAGTCGACATTCACATTTTAAGAGGCAACAGACGGGGTCTCGGGGAGGAGATGAGCCAGTCAGGGTGCGATGTAACAATGATGAGAAATACAACTTTCCTCTAGTTCCTAAAGGTTTCCTCCCCGCTCCCACTACCATGACTCGAATTCTATCTTGCAAGACTGGCTAGACCAGAGGAGGTACACTGGTACAGATAGGAACTGAAAATACAGGGAATCCAGGACGGATGAGCCCTATAGGACCAGTGGTGTGAGTGGCAAAACAGGGAGGGTAAAGGGAGAATGGGTAGGAAGGAGGGAACTGATTACATGGAACTGTGTGTGACCTCCTTCCTGGGGGACAGACAACCTAAAAGTGGGTGAAGGGAGACGTCGGACAGGGCAAGATATGGCAAAATACCCATTTATAAACTATCAAGGGCTCATGCGGGAGGGGGGAGTGGAGAGGGAGGGGAAAAATGAGGACCTAATGTCGGGGGTTTAAATGGAGAGAAAATATTTTGAGAAACGATGTACAAATGCGCTTTACACAATTGATGTGTGTATGGATTGGGATAACAGTTGTATGAGCCCCTAATAAAATGTTAAAAAATAAAAAATAATAAAATAAAAGGTCCAATCAAAAAATAAAAAATAAAAAAAAAGAGGCAACAGAAGGTGCTGCAGGAAGAAGTGAACTGGGCTGAAGGCATTCACACACAGCGTGGCTCCAAGAACGAACGGAAGACCACGCGCAGCGTTTCCACACGCTGACGAACACTGGAGGGTCACTCATTCATATCACATTTGGGTGACAGCTATTTGGCCAACCAAATGGAAGAGAGATCCATCTTTGTGCCCATTACAAAGTGAGGGGACCCTGCCGAATGCAGAAATGATCAAGCAGTATCATTAATACCACATGCAAGTAAAATTCTGCTGAAGAGTCGCCCAAAACAGTTACAGCAGCACATCCACAGGGAGATGCCAGAAATCCAATCCGAAAACAGAAGATGACATGGCACAGTGTCGTCAGACGACTCTTGGCTGAAGGCAGAGAACACCAGGAGGGCATTCAGTCGACTGTGTGGATCATAACAAATGACGGGGCACAATGAGAAGAACGGGATTCCCAGAGCACTTAACTGTGCTCACGCAGAAACTGCACATGGCCTGAGGCAGCTGTGTGAACAGAGCACGAGATTGCCATGTGGCTGAAAATCAGGAAAGGTGTGCTTCAACGTTGTAGCTTGACATCACATATTCCATCTGTGTGTTGAGTCCTAGAAGCTGGCCTGAGTGACTCCATGGAGAAGCACGTGACATCAGGAGTCGAGGGCGGCTTACGAACAACCTGTGACTTGCAGAGGACCCAAGCGTCCTTGCTGAAAGCGAGGAGGCCCTGAAGCACTGGCTGACGAAGAGCACAGATCGCAGCTCCAGCATGGACTGCAACTCAGGGAGGTAAAGAAGACGGAGCTCCTCCAAAGTGGAGCAACAGACGACATCAGGATAAAGGGGTCCACATGGAAGCAGCAGTCAAGAAATCAAAATCACCTGCACAAGACTCTTCAAAGTGGAGATGAGCCGGGGTGTCACCTTGGGGACAAAGGTGTGCCTGACCCCAAACCACAGTCTTCCAATCACCTCATAAGCATGTGGGAATTGGGACAGCGAATAAGGAAGACCCCAGAAACTCTGATACACTGGAATTACGATGTTGAAAAGGACATCAGGCGCCATGGTCTGCCTGAAAAATAAAGGAGACTGTCTCGAAAGAAGCACGGTCAGAATGCTCCTCACGAGCAAGGGCGGCAGCAGCAGGTACTGTGCACATGCTGTCAGGGGAGACCGTGCCGCAAATGGACTCATGCTCGATACAGAAGGCTGCTGACAAAGAAGAAGGCCCTCAAGGAGGGGGTCTACAACAATGGGCTCAAACACAACACTGAGGGTGGCGCAGGCGGGGCAGTGTTTCTTTCTGCTGTTTATCGGGTCACTCTGAGTAGGAACTGAAGAGATCAAACTGAACAACAACCCGGTGATACGGACGCTGACACCACAGGGAATGGTGGGAGGAGGACTGATACTGTACAGAAAATAAAAAAGACAAATGACGATATATTTCTGTGGAGTTACACCACATGTGCCTACCTCTCCAGCCTCCCTTTCCATCTCCTTCCTTCTTCCACCACTGCCCCCCGAGGCTGAGAGACCACCTCCTCCACTGCCCCCCCCTCAACCTGAAGATGATCACCCGTGTCCAGACATGGGAACTAACAGTTTCAATAAAACACAGTACAGTTTCTTTCCTTATGATTTTCTCTAGCTTATTTTATTGTAGGAACCTAATATAATACATAACTCACTGCCACTGAGTCGATGCTGACCCACAATGACCCTGTAGGGCAGGGAAGAACCGCCCCTGTGAGTCTCTAAGACTGTAACTCTTTTCTTTTTCCTTCTTGTTTTCATTGTAACTCTTTCTGGGAGTAGAAAGCCCTATCTTTCTCCCTCGGAGCAGCTGGTGGTTTTGAACTGCTGACCTTGTGGTTAACAGCCCAATATGTAACTACTACACCATCAGGGCTCCTGTAAAACACATACACATACAAAATATCTACTAACTGACTGTGTTGTTGGTAAGGCATCCAGTCCACAGGCTATTAGCAATTCAGATTCGGGGTGGTTAAAAGTCATACATGGATGTTTGACTCTGTGAGGGTGGGTGGGTCAGCAAGCTTAAACCCTGGGTTGTTCAAGGGTCACCTGTACCTGCACTTAATCTGCAATCCAGATATAAGGGCTGGGAGTCGGAGGAAAGAGACCAAGAAACGACGGTTCCTCACGACATAGCCAGCTCCTTCGCACATGCACAGTCACAAGAAAGGCGCAGGCTAGACGGGGCTTCCTTTCTCAAACCTATGCAGAATGAATGCGACTGTCCCGCTGAACAGCACAGGAAGGAGAGGAAGAGATTACCATGGCCTTTTGTTTCTTGAGAACATGGGAAGTCTGTGGGAGGGCTCCTTCCAGGCCCTGCTGCCTCGGGCTCCTTCTCAGGCTGTAGCTCACCACTGCCCTCCTGCACTTTCTTCTTGCCGCACTCCTCCCCGTCCTCCTCCTCCTCTTCCTCCTCCTCTTCTACTTCCGGCTCATCTTTCATTCTCATCAGTGTTGGAGGGAGTTCTGGACGCTTAGGGGGTAACTTCTATAAGGGAAGCAAAACTGTGAACATATAGTTCAAGATGAAGACAAAGCGAGACAAATCTTTCCTGCGGTTAAGCTCATGGTGAAATGCCTAGTCTCCTTCGAGGTTACTAAACCCTGCCCAAGTCTGCTGGAAGTAGGACAGGCACATAAAACTGTATCTACCTACAACCCTCGTGAACGTGAGCACCTATCTTTACGACCGTCTGAAATTATAAGAATATCAACCTCAAAACCCTTGAAGCAGCTTATGGGAAACTGAAGCCTTTATCTGTGCAGCAGCAGCAAGAATGCTGCCCCTCGGCATACTCAAAGATTCATATTCATATTCATGACCGAATCTTCTGGGAAATACGGGATCCCTGGTGCCCAGTGGCTAAAGAGTTTGCTCCACCAAAACACTGTCAGTTTGGACCCAGAGCCACAGGGACCAGCGAGGCAACCTGCAGAGCGTGTTCTCAGGGTCAGAGCAGACTCGACAGCAGCAGGTTTGGTTCTAGGAAGTCAATCAAATACAAGCTCCCAAAGACACAGAAACCTTGTGCGGCTTTTTCATTTTAGACTTAACACCATTTCAAGGAAAACACCATGTAAGTCAGCCAGAGAGCTCCTGAAGAAATGGAAGATGTTTCTTAGAGACTTAGTCCAAATATTCTAATCAAGGCTTTTCAATAAACGTACTGATCAGGAAGGTTCTCAGAGTTCATGATAGATGGCACCAAATCATACTTGGACATATTATCTTTGTAACACAGGATTTTCAGTGATCCTCGAGGGAGAGCTTTTTTGTGAAAACGTTTTCTATTTAAAACCTAAGTACAGGTTACCCCCCTACACACAGAGAAGGCTCCACCCACCTCCAATAAACCATCGAGACCGTATGGCGGAGACGGCAGCCCTGTCACCACAGGGCAGCTGACCCTGACCTGGGATGGGATACAGCTCTTTGGCACGGTGAAGACTTCACAGGCTGGATTTCCGAGTAAGGCTGCAGTGCAGGGAAAACCCCCTACCTCGGAGAAGCGGCACAGGGCAGTAGAAGGATCATGACACGCAGGCGGCGGGGACCTGGATCTGACTCCCAGCCTAGCTTTTCCTGATGTCTGAACTTTCTTTCTTCCCCTCTCCGAGTCCCCCTCCTCCCCGTGAGAGGCTTTATTCTCCACACATCATAAATTTGGGGGAGGAGTAAACCAAGCTTGGGAAATCAGGTGCGCACAGTATGGTATTAGCAAGAATTAGGTGACTGTGACTATTACAACTATATATTAGGAAAAAGGAATTTAACCTCGGGGGCCTTTTCTTACAGACAGTCTTCACCACAGATTAATAAACTGGCATTCTACTTTACACGTCACTCACTTCCCACTGGACTGGCATA